ACATTGATAGAGAACGACATTGATAAAAATTTTGAAAAAATTTTTATGAAATGCATTTTTTAGTTTATCTCTATAAAGTATAACCTTCGCTGTATTTTGTGAATCCCTCTCCTATTCTTGTGATGGTTTGAATTAAATTTTTTTTTAAATGATAGCCTGTGAAATACTGTACAAAATCCAATAAAAGATACCTCTTTAAAATGATAGTGCGGGATGACATGAAACATATTTCTTTCGGAAATGAGAAAAAATTAGTTTCCCAAAACAGTGTCTACGAAAGTGGATCTTTTGTGAGTGTAGCAGCATTGCTGATCGGATATGGTTTTTCAGTTATCATTTTGAAGAGGTATATTTTATTGGATTTTATAGAGTATTTCACAGGCTATCTTTAAAAAACAATTTAAGCCAAACCATTGCAAAAATAAGAGAGATATTCACAAAATACTGCGAAGGTTATTCTTTATAGGGATAAACTAAAAAATGCATTTCATAAAAATTTTTTCAAAATTCTTATCGATGTCGTTCTCTATCAATGTTCATGCGAATTTCACACAACTTTTTTTTTGATTGATAGCTTAGATGACGCTCTTTAAGAATTTTATATTGAATATCAATTTACGACTGATTAAGACAAAGATAGAAAGGAAACAAAAAGGGTGTCGTTACTTATGGAACACCCTTTATTGTTTTGATGAAGCTGTTATAAACAGCTCAACCATAATCAAGATTCTTATGTAATTTCTTTCTACTGAACTAAGTTCACTACTTCGAGAATCATTATAAAGTTTAATTATAAAACTTTTTCACAAATCAATATATAACAATAAAGCAGATCATAGACTTTGAAAAAATAAATATATGAAAAAAAATACTATTTCTCATAATCAATTTAGATAATGAATAATAAGAAGAATTAAAACAATGATTCTTCTTATTCAGAGAAGACGTCGGTTGGAAAAAGTAGGTCAAACGAACAAGAGCATATAGAACAGTTGGACAGAAAAGAAAAAAACAGAACAAGTACATATGTATAACAGCTGAACGGAGAAGAAAAGAAAAGGAACGAGGACATATGTATAACAGCCGGATAAAAAGTATAAGAAATTAGAGCAGTATGCAATAAATGATCTATTTGTTTTTTTTCATTTTATCTACAATAGTTTAGTTTCAAGTTCACATAAAGAAACAACTTTCAAATATAACAATTTATCCATGCGGTATGAATCTGTATGTATTTATTCTAATCACATGAGTATACATATATACGTATATTGACAATCACAAAACATTTCAAATATTTCATAATTATTTTGTAAACGTTGGTTCAATTTTTTATACCTAATACTATTCATAGCATTGAAGAGGTTTTCATTTAATCCACTCCCTGGACGAAAAGAAACGCGGTCTATTTAAGAAAGATGTTCTCATAATACGTACGATCATCGAAAAAATTTGACTAGGTTTTAAAATATTTATCCTGTCGAAAAAAAGAATACTCTGTGCAATAGAATTCGCAGATTTCGAACATTTCTTTGTCTTTCTTCAATAGAATATAGGTAAAATAGGAATTTTTATCGAAGTATAGGACAAAATAAAGAATTTTTCAAGAATATAGGTATTATAAGAAATATAGAATGAATCGAAGCCCAGTTCATAATTGACTATTTTTTTTTCTTTTTTAAAATAAACTATTGCAGGGTTTTTTGTGAAACTTGGTCAATCAAATAATTTAAGAAAGGAAGTAATTCAAAATGGTTTGCATATATAAATAAATTTAAAATAATTGGATATTTATCTTACTTTGATATGTGGATAATGTTTATCGAATACATTTTTTACAGCAAGTTCATAGTCAATTGTAATACACTCAAGTTGTATCATATTTGTTTTTTCTTTTATTTTGTTCATTAATATTGAAAATAAATCATGATAAGTTGATTCAAGTTTATCAGCTAATAATGCAAAAACACAAGGCGTTGATAGTCCTTCATCAAACGCATGTATACTATATATTTGATAGAATATAGATGGAGAAGTATAGAAGGTACCATCACCATACCACCATTTTTGGTATGCTAAATATTCAATATCATGTTCAGATGAAAAAATTAGGCCTCGTTTTTCACCTAAAAGTCCATCAAATAAAAGAAATTTAGTATTATTTCCGGTTAATGTATATAATGATGGAAGTGGAAAAGGTAAATCATCTAGTAATTTTGGTAATGGTGGTCTAGTTTTTCGACGTTGTTTAGTAACATTATTTTTTAATGTTTTTACTGAAGGTAATTTTACTACTGAATCTGTTATTTTTTCTTTTGTAATCATATTCGCATAAGAGAATTCGACTATTTTTTCAATTGGTTCAGAACTTGTTTCTGCTTGATGTTTTAATTTATGACGAAGTTCCAAAACTTTAATGTCATTTAAATCAATAAGATGATTATGGTTTTCATTTACTCGTAATACAATATCATTATTTGAAACTGAAATAGTTGCAGGACAATTTCCTTTTGTACATCTCCATAAAGTCGAATTTACATTATTTTGTTTTACACAATATCTTGTTCCATGAAATATTAATTGGCGTTTTCCATGTGTTGAATTAATATAACTAATATCTTTATTCATAGATTGTAAAGCTGAATTAGAAAACAAATATATATATATGTATATATTAAATCTTATTAAAAATTTAAAACTAGAATATCTTGGAATACTTTTCTTTAAGTAGAACATCATTATTTAAATGATGAAACTCATTACAATAAGACATATAGGAAATTTATTCGGACAAATATACAAGAATAAAGCTATATCAAAACAATAAGTTAATTCATTAAAAAACCGTACTCAATTGATTTGTAGTAGTAGACGACATATTGTATTAGTTTCCTAAATGAAAAAAAAGACTAAACGTTAATATACAATATATTAAATAGGTATATTCTTTACTTTGTTTTTTTTTAATTGCTAATTGATAAATAAATTATATTTTGTGAAATTATTTTTCTTGAAATCAATCATTTTTTTCTTAACAAATACGGCATATTATATAAATAATAGTTTCATATTTATCCATCAAATTACACAATCTCAATCGGTTATCAGGTAGAAACGATGCACAAGGAATAATAGAAATAAATTGATTGACTGATGTACGATAAATTAATCAATGGCGCTTTTGAATATATAGCTTTTTTATAAGTCTTAAACCAAGTCTTATTTTACCTCTTTAATGATATAATTACTTAAAATCAAATTTTAGTACCCTCATTACAAAAAAACTAATCATACTCAATTTTTTTATGAGATATTTTTTTTTACTAATAAAATCTTTATTTTTCCCCTTTTATCTACTGTATTATTTAATAATGCATGAATAAAATATTCTTATGCTACTATTATATATGATTTATAGAAAAGAATCCTCATATTGAACTAAGCATAAAGTTATCTTCAGATCTAGCAAATTGTTCTATTTATCGTTTTTTCGCTCTTATTTACTACTTGAGTTGATGCTAATTAGATAAGCACTTGGCGTCGTTCCTTACTCAAACAAACATCTATTTCTTGATTATTCATTTCTAATCGTATCAAATTTACTATTCATCGTTTAGTTCGAGTAAGACTTAATTTATGATTTTATTTTAATGTTTATTATATATTATCTATGATAGGAAATATATGGAAAAGTCTGAAAGAATACGAAGAATGAAAAAGTGCATTAGCGAAAAATTGGATTTAAAACTTATTTTGGATGAATATTCTTTTTTAATAATAAATGAAATTGCCCAAACGACCAATGTTCCAATACATTACATTTTCCTAACCGCCATCATTGCCATTTGTCATTGGACAATGGGAGCTACATTAAAAGGTGCACAGGCTTATAATACACCATTGATTCTTTTTGGTATTTTGTGTGGTGGCAGTGGTATGTTGTTCATATTTGAAAATAGTTAAAAAGCAGAAAAAAACATTGACAAAAATGTTTGTAAAAAAAAGAATTTAAAATTTTGAAATATCTTTGACTTATAATATAAGTATAAATCGAGAAAAAATTGAAAATTAATTTTTATTTTTAAAAAGTATCGTATAAAATTTTTATTATTATTAAAAAAAAAAGAAAATAATAAAATACCATCAACAGTTATGGTAATATATATTGATAATTTATTGTTTATTTTTGAAGGTTCTAAAAAGAGTGCACCTATCAGAATCGTAAAAGAAGCATGTGAAGCAGTAGAAGCATTAGACAGTATTACTGTACAGAAATCTTCCATCAATGCATCAGCCAATATGGAATCTCTATGTTGCGAATTGGAAAAACAACCAAATCTAATACAAGTTTGATATAATTTCCATTAATTAAATATGATAAATTAAATTATTATAGCTATGGGATGAATTTTCGATGTTTCTTGGACTTTTTGGTAGCACAAGAATTGATAGAACAGCATATGATCGTGGATTGATGTGCGAATTTTATAGTCCAACTGGGATTGTACGTCGACAATTAGTTAGTCGTCAAAATGTAATGATAAAACCACGTCTTAATATTGTTGCTGCTGGTCATCCAAAAAAAACCATTGAATGTTTAACAGGTATATAATTAAAAAAAAAATAAATGTCTTATACTTTTTTTTAATATTGAAATAATATCATACATACTTTGAATAATTCTATTTTAAATACATTGTTAACATATGCTTTCATAATTCCATATATTAGGAATTGGTCTCAAGGACCAGGATCAAAATGATGATGGTCTTTTTAATAGATTTTTAATTGCAATAGCATATAAAAATCGTCCTAATCGTGATATGGTTGAATCAGACAATAAAATTCCCAAATTAACACATCTATTTTACATAACTAAAAAATTGCATCATAACATTGAAGAATATAGTTATAATGAAGAAGGCATTTTTACTATTACTGTAAAAATTGATTTATTATTTTTTTTATTTTATTTAGCAAAAAAATTTATGAAAGAAATAATTTATAATTACGATGTTGTTTCGTCCGATAAATCAAACGATGACGATTTCATTGCAAGGTAATTCATCTGTTTATTTTTTTTCTAAAATAAATTCATTGAGTTTCTAAATTGTAGTCTCTATCAAAAGTCCATTGAACGTGTGGAGCGATTATCATTGGCTCTACATATTCTTAAAAACAGTGCTCGTCGTCTATTTAGCATGACTGAAAATATTCAATCATTTGCTATTTTCGATGATCGATTTAAAACAATTTGTACAGAACAGCAATTAACTGAAGCTGAACATTTAATCGATTATGATGCAACGTTCCGAGCATCGTTACTGACAAAATTTTATCTTAATCAGACAAAAATACTTGCTGGTTATGATCCTATAACAGATAATGTTATAGGAAATAACAAATGTGAGTAATACTTTTTTTTCTTTCAACATCAATCAATATCATTTATTTATTTATATAAACTTTCGAAAAGATAAAAATAAAAAAATAAAAAGAAAGGGCGAGGTGTCTTACAATTCATTTTTAATATGAATAATGAATTTCAGTGATAGATAATAATCAAAAGAGTAGAAAAAAATCTTTTAATAGAAGAAAAATTTCTATCTAGTGGCTATATCACTCGTATAATCTTATTCTTTAGATACAATTGACATACCTCCAGAAGAGGTCAACCACATAAAAAAATATATTGAAAATCATCCATGTGATCGTCTTCTCTTATCATCATTACCTGCAAATCTTAAAAGAAAAATTAGTAAAGATCAATATTTAAGTATATTACGAGAAATGGAAGAAGAAGGTATAGGAAAAATTGAAGAAACAAATAATGTTAAAGGTCCTAAAGGAATTGCCTTTACGAAAAAGAAAAAAATCGACCAAGAAATAACTGTATTATCATCATTACCTGAACAACAAACAACTGAAGCTTCATCTATAAATCATGAACTAGGAAATCAACCTTCATCAACAAATCATTTTTCTAATTGAACATGAACATACTATGAATAATTTTTTTAAATTTTTAGTTCAATTAATTTTGCTTGCAAATGTTTCAGTTGAAATTAAATACGTAAATACAATATAAATTTTTCTTTTTAGATTAAAATGGATATCGAACAATCAGTAATCGACATGTATGAAGAATTTATGAACAACATTTCAAATGATATGTAAGATATTTCATTTATTATAAATACATACATATATATGTGCATTTTTTTTCTTTAAAGTAATGTTCAATCAGCATCAAGTGTATCAATGGAACAAAATTTAAATAATAATATAGAAAATCATAATGATCATAGTGATGGTAGTACTAATGGTGCTACTAATATTAATGGTAATCATAATGATGCTATTAATCGTAATAATAATGGTAATCATAGTAATTGTGTTAATCGTGATGATATTGCTAATCATAATGATAGTTTAAATCCTAATAATAATGAAATTAATCATCATTCTCTTAATCATAATATTAATGCTAATATATCTGGTAATATAAACAATAGTATTAATCAAAATAATAATAGTAATACAAATAACATAATTAATCGAGATCAAAATGAAGAAACAGCAGAAGATATTGTTGAAATCATCAATATACAAAATAGTATGTTTTAAAAAGAAATAAAAAAAAACATAAAATATAATATTTCTAAAAAGAAAAATATTTCTAATAAAAAACATTTTACATGTATTAGAACAAATTTTCTTTCGTTGTCTAATGATTAAATATTCTATTTCCATCTATAACCTAAGAATTTAATTTTAATGTTCATTAAAGATAATGAATCAAATTTATTAAAAATCAATCAAATTAATGTTGATATCGATTTTCCGTAAGGTCTTCATTTTTCTCACTAATATATGTTTTTTTAAATATATTTTACATGTATTTATTTTTAATTTATCTGAGCCAATATATGCTTCATTTCTTTTACATATATATATAATAAATAATTTTGCATTATATTAAAAAAAAATAATTTAAATATGCTATTATTTAATTCTCATCATAAATTATATTTATTCTTTTCTTTATATCCTCTTATACGTATAATACAGATGGTCATTACGAGCCATAGTTACATATAAACATCAAAAAAGAACATACGTTAACTCAAATGGTGAAGGAGAAGTCTTCACCTGTGATTTAGCTGATGAAACGAGCGAGATAAATTTAGTAGCCTTTAATCTCGACTCATACATGATGTCGACCAAGTTAATTGAAAACAAAGTAATAAAATATTATTAAAAAAAATTATTTCATTATATATATATATAGTCATACGAATTCAGCGGTTTATCTATTCGTACTGTTGATCCTGCTTATAAAAAGTTACCACACGATTACCAATTGATTACAACTAAAACCAGTAAAGTACGAGAAATTATTGTTCCGTTCGAGTACCAATTAATCTGTAATTTTACACATTTGCGTCATGTTGAAACACTACCATTACACTCAATAATTGGTTCGTATTCATTAATGAAAATTAATTTTAAAATATTGATAATTTATATAATGAATCATATAATATAGATGTTCACGTGAAAGTTTTAAGAGATTATGGAATAGCTGTAGGAAATACCAACTCCAATATGTGGAGTCGACGTGAACTCCATGTTGCTCAGGATGATGTTCATATCAAATTAACATTATGGAATGATCAGGTTCTATTATATAAAAAATTATTTGATTTAATTTTATTATTATTAGGCAAAAAAAATTTCAGGAACAATAATCAATAAATATTTAAAATTAAAAAATGTTAAAGTTGATTGGTTTAATGGTAAATTGTTTTGCATACATCCTTTTTTTTAAATAATCGTTAACCTTTTCTAAATATTTAGGTTCACGTACACTCATTTCTATGCCAAATACACGTGTGGCTATTGTTTAAATCATTCTAATACGTGAACGTTATTAATATTCAATACTCTTCTAACTTTAAAAAAATTCAGAATATATTTAATCATGTTGCAATAATTTTATTTTTTAGTTTGCAATTATTTCAATTAAAAAAAATATATAAAGTGTTTTTCTTTTCTCTTAAACTATTTAAATTAAGTTATCAATTATATCTAAATATCATAAATAAAATTAATCTAGAATCTATGCTTACAATAAACAAAGATAAAATTCATTTAATAAATAAAATACTTATTGTTCGATTTGAATGTTCAAATTGAACAAAAATAAATAAAAATAAAATTCATGTAATGAATAAAATATTTACTGTTCGATTTCAATGTTCAAGTTGAACTAAAATAAACAAAAAAACATATTGAATTAACGGGGTCCCCCCTCAGAAAATTCAATTTTTCGAAGACGGGTCGAAATTGAAGTTTTACTATAGAAAGATGCACCAAAGCCTGGTATTGATACTGTATACGATCGATATATGTATCATATTTATTTAAATCGAAATGGTCGTTGGACATTATCAAAAAATATTCTTGAAAAATTAGTTCATATGCATGATTTTGATTTAACAAATAGGTTTCCTGATATAAGACGTTTTATATATTTATGTGTTAATGAAAAAACAATAAATTTTCTTGTTCAAATGGATAATTTATCATATGGTGTTGTATTTTGTTCAGTAACAAATGATTGTATAACAAATGAAAAATTAAAATTAAAATTAATTGAATTACCACGTGCTCAACAACTATTAACAATTTATTCAGCATTTATTAAATCTTTAAATCAAGATTTTTTTTTATTAATGATCTGTCAATTGATATTTTACATATATTCAATATAGAACAATATTTAGAATTTTATTCAGTTGATTGTTATGCTATTTATTATGTAGCTGATAACCATGAATTAATAATTGTAACAAATAATTCGATATCTTCAATAAATTTAAATCAATGAAATTTATTTTTTACAAAATTTTCTAACAAACATTTATCAAATGTATAGTGTTATTTTTTTTGTTTGTTTTCTTTTCATACATTATTAAGTGATTTTTGTTTCGATATGAAAATAACTTCTCTGTTTTTGAGCATGAGATATTTTTGTTTGTTTTTTTTTGTTTTATTAACGTATGAAATAAAGAAAATAAAAACAACAAATACGAATTATCAATTGTTTAGTTCATAGATGGAACTGATATCGATCTATACCAGTCTAAAATCTTCATTTTACTGATCTATGATTGTATTCATATAAAAAAAAACAGTAAGTGGAACTAAGCCTAATCTCGTAACATATAGTTTAGAGAACGTTCTCAATGAAACTTTTGATGCTTGTGTTTGTCAACGTGATAAACGACTACCACTATCAGTTGGTAATAATTTTTTTTCAAGCTGTATATTTAATTCTTCAATATCATGATTTGTAAATTCCTCACGTGTATCAAATGTAACCATAAAACCTGGTGAAGGTCGTGTTACACTGGCAACAGATTGACCAACGGGTATTTCTTGACGATTTGTATTCATTGATTGTGAACGTTTAAGTTTTGTTGATGGTGTTTGTGGTGCACTTGGTAATATCTATGATAATGGACACGAACCAGTTAAAGGACCACGAGAAAATTTTCGAATACCATATTTTAAACCTAAAGATATAAAATTTTTTCTAGAATAGGAAGAAGTACTGGACTTTCCTTTTTTTTTGCAGTTTTTCTTTCATAATCAAATACAATTTTGGCTGAAGAAAAAAAACTGAAAATTTTTTAAAAGTGATGGTGCGTATCTCTAACACCCTGTGAACTAGAGCCAATTAGGCCCAAGATTTTCTGGGTCTAAGTATGAATTGAACCCCATGGGCTCTATCCACAAAAGATCAATCAACCAACAACGGAGCATTTGCAGGTGTCCGAGCGCTTAATAATATCATTAATCTATTGAATATTATTGATTGTTTAGTTAATATGCAATAAATTCGATAAACAGTATATCTTCAGTACGAGATATGCTTGTTACATATGAGAAAAATTCCATTCGAATAAATAAGTCAAATTATTTAGAAATGCTGCTTCTTTTCTTTTTTTTCTTATTAACAATATTTATCAGGTAATGACTTCATCAGTTATTGTGTAACAAGCTAGATGAAAAGTTAAGACACAAGAAATGTGACTTTTTGAATTTTTAACAAAAAAAAAGCAATATGTTCATCGTCTAAAGTGTAGATGCAAAATATTATTAACTAAGCATATGGCATGCGATAATTTCAATGATTTTCAAATATTTTAAACGTCCATATATAAGTTTTTTTTTACCCTTACTATGCCATTTCAAAATTTCACAACTTTCAGTATTGTTTTATTGATTTTACTTTTCATGAAAAATAAAAGAGAAAGAAATCTTTCTTTTTTTTTTGTTGATTATATAGAAGAATTCAATTTGAAGAAATCTAATGATCAAAATTGTTGAATATCAATTACAATAACAACATATCCTACAAGACTTTTTTATTGTTTATAGAGTTCTTTTTATTTTGTCATTTTAAAGTAAGTCAATTCTACGTCTTTTCATCGAAATGATTTTATTTCATAACAGCTACAAGATTTATTCATTAATTATTTTTATTTGCTTATAGTATACTTCATATTCTATTGACCTTTAAGGATAATAAACTTTTTTTTTATTAATTAAAATGTTCTTGTGATGATAATAACAAAAA